AGGTGGGTAGCACCGCTTTGTGGTGGTTCCAGTCCTACTTGGAAGTTCGTTTCCAGAGGGTGATGCTTGAGGGATGCTCTTCAGCCCCATGGAGCCTTCCATGTGGGGTTCCCCAGGGTTCAGTTTTATCCCCTGTGCTGTTTAACATCTACATGAAACTGCTGAGTGGGGTTATCTGGAGCCTAAGAGTATTTTTTCAGCAATATGCTGATGACACACAACTCTACTTCTCCTTTACATCTTCAGGCATGGCAACGGATGTGCTGGACCATTGTGTTGCCTTGGCAATGGACTGGATGAGAGCCAACAAACTGAAGCTCAATCCAGATAAGACTGAGGCACTGTTATTGGATGGTTCCCTACACCAGATGGATGGGAGACTGCCTGCTCTTGAGGGGTTTACATTTCCATCAGTTGACGGAGTGGGTCCTTTACTGTTGCTTGAGGCTCAGGTGGCCTCAGTGGCACAGAGTGCCTTCCATCAGCTTTGGATGATGCCTCAGTTGTGTCTCTGTCCGGACAAGGATAGGCCAACTACTGTTCTCTATGCTCTAATGCTCTTGGTTATATTATTGAAACATGCTATGCTTAAGGCTGCCTCTGAAGACAGCTTGGAAAATTCAGCTGGTGGAGAATTTCACAGCCGGGTTGCTCACGGGGCAAGACAGTTTGAGTATAAGGCATCAATCCTGGCCAGACTGCACTAGCTGCCAATTAGTTTTCAGGTCCAATTAAAAGTGCTGGTTTTACCCTTTAAAGTCTTAAATGACTCGGGACCACAATACCTCAAGGACCGCCTCTTCCTATATGAACCAACCCAGAGACTATGATCACCATTTGAGGCCCTTTTTCATGGGCCTTCTCCACAAGGGTGGCAACACAAGAACGGGCCTTTTCTGTGGTGGCTCCCCATTTGTGGAATGTTCTCCCCACATTCATTACCTATCTTTATGCGCCAGGTGAAAACATTTCTCTTTAACCAGGCATTTGGCTGATTAACGTTCTAGGGCCTTTTAAAATGTGTCTGTGAGAGGGAGTTGTTGGTTGGTTTGCTTTTGTCTTATGTATTTTCCCTTTTCATTTTGTAGTTTTATGTTGTGAACCACTCTATGATCTACAGATGAAAGGTGGTATACATATTTAATAAATCATAATCATCTGATGTTGCATTCACTAAATAATATACATGCATGTGTGCACTCATACTCATAGCAAGTTTCTGACTAGTGAGGTGCTCCTTTCCAGCAAAATTAATGCTGAATAAAGTTCACAACACCCAAATCAGTAAACTGGTTGAATGGTGTGTACATGTCAGCCAGTCTCTTGCCTCTCCGAGATTTGCTCTGTGTAATGCTCCACCCAATCTTCTATTTCCATATGCAGAGTTCAGGGATAGGCAGTTTAATCATTAACTCCATGCCATGGTATGCTTTGCATGAGACATACCCTTCAACAGTTGAAAGCCAGCCGTGAGCCACAGTCAGGTGCAGAATGTTTACTTCCATGGTGCTTGTGCTGTGGCCGGGACAATTCTAATTGCAATTCATTCTTCTGGAGAATAGAAAATCAATAAGAAATAAAACTCATCTGAGAGAAGCAGAATGATGCATGGATGAATTCACCCATTTGGTAGTGCCATCCAGTTCCCTCCATGCAATTGTCCTCAAGCTCAGGCATTCCTAAGTGTGGACCCTCTCATGTGAACCAAGTGTTATGTTATATAAATAAGCCTTGTTTATAAATATTGAAATGAATGAATGAATCTAAGTACACATATACATTTCTGCACTGGATTCAAACAATGCCCATGTCCTTAGCATGCTTTCTTTTATTTTCTTCTTTTTTTACTTTTTGGTACAGCCAAGATTTCAAGGAAGAGGGACTATAGTTCGTTGGTAGAGTGTGTGCTTTGCATCCAGAAGATCTCAGGTTAAATTCCTGTAGAATTATCTAATACAAACATATTTGCAAATGTATCTGTATGAACCCAACTCCACAATCAAATCAGTCTTATATGATTCCACGATGCTGTTGTGCAATATTCCTAATGTGATCCGATCCCCTAATAACTGCCAGGAAAAAAGTGGTTTCATTATCAAACTTAAAATATTTAGGGTTGGGGGGGGGACCCTGTTTGTGTGAATTTACAGTAGGGATAGGGCAAATCTGACAAATTTGGTTTATTTTGTTTCTCATTTTTTCTAATATTTAGTTCAGTTATCCACATTTCCATGTCAGTTTGCAATAAAAAAGCCATCATGAAAATTTATCAGTATCTTAATGCAACTTTCTTCTAATATACACATATTTGGAATTCATTTTTTATGTTGTTTTCACTAATACATGCTTTCTGTGCACACTTTATCTCAGTATATTGATTCATTAGTTGATGAGCTGTGGAACATTCAAAACATCAAAATAGAGAACATTGGAAATACAAATATACAAAATACAGAATATGTCAGTAAATTCAAAATAACAAAAATCAACAATTTAGCAAACACCGAATAAATTCTACATTACAAAAAAGCCCACTCTAAGAATAAGTACATAAATACAAAGCAAATGTGAAAGTTAAGCAACAATAAGTTTCGGCTACTGGTCCTGCTGCACGCCAAGGAATCTGGCTTAAATCCAGTTCAGAAGGAGGGGTAGATGACATACAGCTGGCATACAGGCGAGATGACAGGCTCTAGGCAGTTTTAAACACATTACATAGCTGGAGAGCTGCACTGCAAAATTTGGGAAAATTTGAATTCTTTGTTTCTGCATGCATATTGCTTCAGAAAGTACAATTTAGGTAGGTTTGCCTTTAAATGTGTACTGAAACAAATTTATTCCCCATCCCAAATGTACAGGAATCCATAATATCTGTGGAGGGGAGGGATAGAGCTCTCAACCATTACTAATTGAAGGGACAGTGAAATAAGGAGTGCATGGGTCATATACCAGTATACAGCCCAATCTTCATCTGAGTAAAACAGTTTACATGTCTCTCCTCTAACAGAGATACTTCAGAACACAAGAGGTAATAGTCTAAGAAAATATGTAAATACAATAAAATGAACTAGTCAACAGGGAGCTTTTGGAGATTAACTTTGAAAAATAAAAATGGAATCCCATAACCTTTATAAAACAGGTCTGTGTGGGAACAGGTCTACCTTGATGCACTGAAATGTGCCACACCAAAGGGTCACAGAAACCCAATGCATCTTGCATACATTATGGTTGTATATTTCTGATCTCACCTAAATTGGGATACTTTTCACTCCACCCTGTAAGGAAAAAGTAATAAATTCCTAAGAAGCAACAAGCATGCCTGCAGGGCTGCCATGTTTATGAAGGCTGTCAGTCAGAGTGTTCTCTGATGGTGTCCCATCTCCTCAGGAGCAGGTCTGCCCTGTTTGTTTGGCAATGAGCGGAGTGTGTCACGCAAAAGGCATTGCAAGTTAAAGGCCTCCGGGTTTTGTTCTGCTTGGGCATAACGACAGCAGCTCAAACAAAGCTTGGCAAGCTCCAGTGTATCTGAGGAATACCTTAGCGAGAGATACTTGTACCACATCCTTTTTCAAAAAGTCAGAGGTGTTCACTGACCAAAGACTTGACCAGACAAATTCCTACTCATTCCTAGTGCAGCTGTTGTGCCTTTGTTGTGCGGTGCTCAAATATCTTCTCCTTAAAGCACAATACAGTGGTACTTCAGTTTTCGAACGTCTCCGTTGACGACCGTTTCAGAACTCAAACGCCGTAAAGCTTCCATTTTCGAACACGCCTCGGAAGTCAAACGGCTTCCACTGAGTGTATATGTTATTTTTCTCAATTTCCCCGTTGCACCTCAGTTTTCAAATGTTTCAGAACGTGAATGGTCTTCTGGAACAGATTACGTTCAAAAACCGAGGTACCACTGTACCTCTGTTGCAGGGGTATTGTGTTTCCTAAGGCTTCAAAAGACAGTGTCTTCTTACTGGGAAAATGTGGTTTTCTTCCCAGCCGGTGTGTCCTTTGCTATAGTGAGAGTTGTGTGGAGAAGCCGGAGATTGAATTTGGGACTTCCGGCATACAAAGCATATACGCTACTGAGCTACGGCCTTTTCCTGTGAATTAGATCTTAAAATGTCTCAGCGTGATGCTGAGGTGGGGCTTTCTTACAAGTGTGCTTTCTTGCACACCGATTTCATCAGGATGAAGCCTAGACATTTTAAAATAAAATGACTGTAACTCACTTGGCGGAAACTCAACAGCTCATGGAGTTGGGTGGCATTGCCATGTCAAAGTTCCTATGCATTTCAGCTGCTCTGGAATTTACAGGAAATATAAACAGGGTGAGAGTTGAGCACAGCCTTCGGTAAACACTCTAAATACCATTACCAATCAGCCTGAATTTTACTGGCCTACCAGAATTCTCTCTTCCTGGCCAGTTGTCATAAAAAGCAGAATGGAAACATTGTGGCCAGTGCTTTCGATATTTGCATGTTAGTATTTTTAAAGCAGTTTCTTGTCAAAAGAGGAAATTCAAAGGCATTTCCCCTCCTTAGGTTTTTGTTTTGATTTTTTTAAAAAATATTTGCTTTGTTCAAGGCAATGGTGCTCTGCACATGTACAGAGGCATTTGAATTATTTTTTTTAAAAATAATAATAATAAAGATGTCAACCCTAAATCTATCTTGAAATAGATAAATAAAATAAAACAGAAATGAAGGAGAGAGCACAGACAAACACTTGGTAAAGAAATCAGTTTTTACAAATTCTCTTCATATGTTGATAGCTATATTTTATAAGTAGGCTGTATTTTCATGAGGTTTGTGGCAGGACTATATTTAACAGCTGCCTTTTACAGCCCATAAAATTAAAGGGTTGTAGTAAAATTATAAGCAGTGAGAAGAAAAGTGCTTTTGGGAGGCTTACGGCTGATGAATGCGCAGCCTATCCCAAAATGAAAGGCTAGCCTAGGGCAACCCTGAAATTTAATTCTGGGCTTGTCTCTCTTTGCCCCTTAGCAGCGCTGCTCAGAGATGCCCTGTCATTGCTGCGATGGTTCCACCCATCGCCAGACTCTTCCTCACCCCACCGCTCTGGCATGTTGACAGCGACCTGGCGCAAAGCACGCTGGGAAAGCGAGTCCGCCGCCTTCTTTGTCGTCGTCGGAAGAGGGAAGAAAGGCAGCGGCGTTGACCACAAGTCCCAGGATGCCTGGCGCCTCTACTTCTGCCGGATAGAAAGAGGCAGCATCTTTTTAAAATACTGGGTGTTTTGGATGAGACAAGTTGCATTTGCGTTTGGTGAGTTTCGCTCTTTTTGAATTTATTGTGCATGGGTGTGTTTTGCAGATAGGGAAAAGGAACCCACGCCATCCTTGCTGTTCGCTCACTTGTTAGAAGTGCGCGGGAAGCTGCCCAAGTTGGTATCCCCCCCGGGACGATCCTTCCCGTTCTTTTTTTCTTTTCGGACTCAGCCCTTAAAAGGAGATGCAGGGATCCTGCAGAAAGGAATCAGAGACGATCTCTGCCGCCCTGCTGCTGCTGCTCTTTAGCCAAGCGTTCCCTCTCAAACTTTGGGGCGTGCTAAAAGAAGGAGATCCGCTGGGGTGAGCTGAGCTCCACACCAGAGTTGCGCGTGCTTGTAGGGACAGTGATGGGATCACAGGTCAAAATGTTAGTTTATAGCTCTGGCTTACCTCGGGGCTTGTAGGGCTCTGCTATGAACAACGGGATTTGGAGCAAATGACTACCAGGTCTTCTCGGGCTCCTGTGCAGAACCCATCAGATTTGCTACCAAAAAATTCCCACCTTTCCACACTTTTGATCTTTGGCGATCTAGGCCAGGAGTTAGAAAAGAATGTGCAGAAGTTTACCAGAATTTAGAAACAAAACAGGAAGTTGTTGGGTAACTTCCTAACTACCTACCAACCAAGGGATCTGTAATATGAGCTTGAATCCTGGCAAGACACTATGGGCGAGTTGTTCCTGTGTCCAAGAAATTTGGGGGGTGCTTTTGGATCCAGCTCTGTCACTGGGGGTTCAGGTAGCCACAGTGGCAAGAAGTACCTTTAACCAGTAGCGATTTGTTCAACAACTACAGTCATTCCTGGGCTGGGAATTCCTTGCCAGGGTAGTTTGTGCATTGGTTACTTCAAGACTGGATTACTGCAATGCACTCTATGTGGAGCTTCCCTTGTTCTTGAGCACTGTTCTGCACTGAAGTTAGTGCAGAATACTGCAGCACAATTGCTGACATGACTGAGGCCTAGTCAGCATATAGCACCAGTGCTCTCATATCTGCACTGGTTGCTGATTTGCTACCGGGCCAAGTTCAAGGTGTTAGTATATAAAGCCCTTAACAACTTGGGACCAGTTTACCTGTGAGATCACCTTACCTCATATACACCCACTTGGTGCTTTGATCTGCAGAACTGGCACTGTTAAAGGTGACACATAATACCTGTTCTACATCTGTAAGAACTTGATTAGTGTGGCAGCACCCTACACTTTGGAACTCCCTGCCTGTTGATATCAGACAAGCGCCTTCACTGTACTCTTTCGGCACCTCCTAAAAGCATTTTTGTTTAGACAAGGCAACCCAGATATTGAGAAAGTTGATATGAGTTTTAATTAATTTTAAGTTTGTTATTTTAACTTTTCAAAAGTCATAAATTATTATGGTTAATTCATCTTATTGGTAACTTTATTGTTTTATCTTTTCTGTAAACCGCTCTCAGGGTTTGGTTTCATTTTACAATCAAGTGGTGTATAAGCAAATAAATAACGTTTTGCATTCAAGACCGCTAGTCTTGCTTACCTAGAAGTAGCTCCCATTAATTCCAGTTGGTCTTCCTTTCATGCAGATAACTTAAGTAGACCTGTAGGATTTTTCTGTTACAGTCTTCTGTAAGCATGTCTTCTCAGAAGCAAGCCATGTTGAATTCAGTGGGGCTTACTCTTATGAAAGTGGGGTTATGACTGCTATTTTAGTAGCCAAGTGACTGTTGTTAACTGTGCAGTCTCTAGAGGCAACCCCTGCCAGCCCCACAATGAATTGCAAAAGTCTAACCTGGAGGTGATCAGAGGCTCTCTCTTTCATGAGTGGCTGCTTAGTTGCTTTTTTAAAGATTCCTCGTATGCAGGGCCTGCCCACCCAGAGGCAAACTGAGACAACTGCCTCAGGTGGCATAATCCACAGGGGCAGCAGGTCTTGCCTCCAGAACATGTATCACCCATTGCTGCTGTGGTGGCAACGATGGCTGTGGTGCGCTCCTTGGAGGTGAGATCAGTTTGGGGAGAATGCTAGCAGGGTACCCTTTTATTTCTGTTTCTCTGTTACTCTCTCTGTGGGTGCTTTTATATTGTTTTGTGTTTTATATTGTTTGTCTCAGTGACTAATCTGTTGCTATTTCCTGGCTTTTATGTTATCTTCAGTTTGGCTCTGACAGTGTTTTGCATAAATCTATGAAAAGTTATGTTTGTGCCACAGAGGTTTGCAGGTCTGTTTCCACAAATTATGGAAAGAGATAGCGTGGCATAGGTGTCATGTGCAATCTTTCTCACGGTTGATAAATGCTCCCTTTCCTGCTACTGGATAGAATGTAATGCGATGCTTGGTGCCTCAGCTATTTCCCCTCCTTCAAGGTCAGAAGCGGAAGATGGCAGACCTCGAAAGCACAGTCATAAACACCAGTGTGACCCAGGTATGGCATTAATAGCTATAGTAGTTTATAGTCAGCATATTAAAGGAGGAACTATATTTTGTTTTCTTTCAATTAAGCACAATAGGGTTCTAAACATAATGAAACTGGTTTCCCCTTCAGTATACACTAAAAAACTGAGGAGTCTTGTTTTCCAGACAAATACAGCCTGGAGATATGTGAACAGTACAGTACCACTATTATGGGCCAGGCATAGGCAAGATGTTTTGGGACTACAATTCCCATCATCCTTGACCACTGGTCCTGTTAGCTAGGGATGATGGGAGTTGTAGTCCCAAAACATCTGGCGGCCCCAGTTTGCTTATGCCTGTTATGGGCAAATGAAAACCAAGTGATTCAGAATTTGGTCCCAAACTTAGAACACCAGATTGGTTCAGCATATTCTGTGTTTCAGAGATCATAGGAATATAGGAAGTTGCCTTGGATACTGAGTCAGATATTGGTATTGTTACAATTTGGCCATTATTGGGGGAATATTGGAAAACTAATACAAATTTATTTACCAAAAAAAAGATGCCGAGTCATACCATCGGCCCATCTAGCACAATAATGTCAACACTGATTGGCAGCGTCTCTCCCCTATCTGGAGATATTAGGGTTTGAACCTGGGGTGCTTTTCATGAAAAAGCATGTTCTCTAGCATGGAACCCTTTCTGGGTCTGGAATGATCAGAAAGTTCCTCCAAAACAAAGCAGGGTGCTTCCCATTAGGCTCAGTCTAACTCAAAGGTGGAATGCTCCCCTGGGAATCCTAAAGGTCATTTCTCTGTTGTGAACTGTCAGTGAGGGGTTTCTACCCAAGGATGACAACGAGAAGGAATACCACCTTTATCCTTTCAGTCATTTGGTTCCTAAAACTCCACCCACAGCTGCTTTTACCACCACAAGGTTGCAGATTTGCACATACCTTGCAAGGGCTAATAATAGTCCTCTCGTTACTCAAGTCAAGTGAGCAAGCCTAACCTGCAAGCTGCTGGTACCAGATGATGTACTCTGGCCTATTGCTGTTCAAACATGCCTAAAACTAGTCTGGCTGCTTTCTGTAGTTCCTTTGCCAGCGCACAAATTGAAGTCATGGGCTGGGAGTCCTGACACTGGAGTTCAAGTTCTGCTTCATCACATCTGTGCTCTCTGCAGGGGATGTAATTATAGTGATAGCTTGCCTTAAGCTTGCCAGGATATACATGTTTCTGAGAATTAGTTTCCCAAGAAGGTAGAGGTATGTGCTATAAGCATATTGTTCTTGCCGCTGTTGTTTATATTCACAAAAGCAACACAAATTTTAAATATTAAAACCAGTTATAATAAACACAACTAATAAAAACCTTTAAAAGCATATCCAAACAAATAAAAGACAGGTTTTAGAGATCTTCCCTCACTAAGAGAGGACACACAAAGGGGCCAGGGTCAAAAGGGAAGTTTTTAGCCTGGCACCCAAAGATAGATTGAGATGGTGCCAGGGAAATCTTCCTGGAGAGAGCATTGCACAAGCAGGGATACCACCCTCCAGACTTCTTATGAAAGGGACTCATGAAGAAGGGCCTCAGATGATGAATACTGTGTCCAAGTCAGTTCATGTAGGGAGAGGTGGCCAAAACATATAGCAGTGAAATAGTCTTAAATGCAAATAGTGTGGCTTTGAGTGGGGAGGAGTTGCAAATATACAGGAGAGACACAAATGTTCGTTCAGGTTTCCTTCAGCGCAGTTTTCCCTCTTGACCAATGTTGGTTGCCAAACCTCGACTTTGTTCTCGGGCTTCTCCTCTTCAGAAAGATCCCAAGGAAGCTCTAGTCATTGCTGTGACAACAAGGGCTATTTTCAACCTGGAAAAGGAGCACGAGATCTTTTTGACAAAGGGAAAGGAGGAGTACGTGAAGCATCAGCAAACGAACGAGAACAACCCTTTGGAGCCAGGGACAGCCTTTGCTTTTATCCAGGTAAAGTGCCCAGAACAGCTTGGTCAAGGCATGTGTGAAATACAGACCCCCTGTGTCTTTTAGAATTCTCATCTCAGAATTAACAGACACTTTTGCTGTTTAAATGGGTGGCAGTGGATTTTTCACTTGCACTGTTAATCTGGCTTTGCAGTATGCTTTACACCCGTGGATATGTAAATAGACAATCTTGTCCCCCTCATGTTTTAATCAGACTGTAAAGATGTTTTTGGGATGAGGGTGGTGCTGTGGGTTAAACCACAGAGCCTAGGACTTGCCAATCAGAAGGTTGGCGGTTCGAATCCCCGCGAGGGGGTGAGCTCCCGTTGCTCAGTTCCTGCTCCTGCCAACCTAGCAGTTTGAAAGCACGTCAAAGTGCAAGTAGATAAATAGGTACCGCTCCAGCGGGAAGGTAAACGGTGTTTCCGAGCGCTGCTCTGGTTTGCCAGAAGCGGCTTAGTCATGCTGGCCACATGACAAGGAAGCTGTACACCGGCTCCCTCGGCCAATAAAGCAAGATGAGCGCCACAACCCCAGAGTTGGTCACGACTGGACCTAATGGTCAGGGGTCCCTTTACCTTTAAAGATGTTTTAAATGAATATATAAGTGTTCTTTTGCATACACTTTCATTTCTCTCATATATATATATGTGTGTGTGTGTGTGTGTGTGTGTGGTTGCAATATATATGGTTGCAATATTGCTTTCTCCCACAACTGGGGAGTGGGTGTGTGAGAGCACCATAAGCAGTGCAAATACAATCACAGTTTTGCCTGTGACAGAAGCAGTTCCCTGAAACTGCTAGAAAATTGTGGATCTGGTTTTTCTTCTTCATGACTCCCTCTGCACAGTAATATGCACCTGTGCTTTCAGAGTAGTGAAGATGCTTTCAAATAATCTGAGCCATATTTAAAATGCTAACACATTTGCCTTCACCACTTACAGCCTTAAAGGCCAGGGTTTAGGTATATAGTAATGAATGGTAATACACCTCTGGACACTTCTCCCCCACCCCAGGCAGCACAGTTTGTGAACAAGAAACTTCTTGAAAGAGACCCAGAGGAGAAGGAGCTCTTTGACGTGATTGTCCTCTCCAATAACAGTCCAGAGAGTGGTGTGCGGGTCATCAACAGTGCTAAGCAACATGGTAGGTGTCCTAGGCATAAGATTGTTAAGCCATTTTCATTTCATTTTTTCCATTCATTGTAAATTTCATTCTTTCTGGGGGTAATTTTGATTTCCTCTTGACCTCGTTTGCATTTCTGCACATTACAATGATGAGTCCATATGAATTGTGAATCGAGAAACAAAAAGAGGTAAGGACACTGGACAGGCTACAAAGCCATTCATCCCTGTGCTAGGAAGACAGCACTTAGTATGGAATAGGAGGCTAGTTCATGCTTATAGAGGACCACTTCTGAGTGCCTTGGGAGACCCATAACTGGAGGAGTCATCTAGAAAAAGGCTCATGCATTTGCACAAATCAGGCAGCCACTGGCAAATGTGGTTTCATTTATTAGTTTGTTTCAGTGATATATATCCTGTCCTTTGCAGAAGCCACAGGGCACTTTGCTAAAAGGTCAAACGAATTAAAAAGAAGTAAACTCTTTAAAAAAAACCCCACACACACTCATTTAAAATGTAAAGCACAGCAGCTCATAATGATTCAATTTATGTAGCAATTACTAACAGTACCACCAGCAGCAAATTAGACCTTTTTCTAGTCAACCTTGTATTCCAAATGCACACCAAAAAGGTGCATTTTGACAAATCACCTAACACAGGCCTCCCCAACCTTCAGCCCTCCAGATGTTTTGGACTACTATTCCCATCATCCCTGACCGCTGGTCCTTTTAGCTAGGGATTGTGGGAGTTGTAGGCCAAAACATCTGGAGGGCCGCAGGTTGGGGATGTCTGACCTAACACTACATAAAGGCAGGACTGCACACACCTTGAAATAGAGGGAGTTCCATATGCAAAGAATTACCACTGAAAATGCACTTCCCTGGGCCCTCACACCACACAGTTCATCCTGCTGATCTTAAAGCACAAATAGTCCCTGTATATTGCCAAAGTGCACACATGGAGGTCACTTTAAGTGTGAAAAAACTCACAACAATACAGTGGTACCTCGGGTTAAGTACTTAATTCGTTCCGGAGGTCCGTTCTTAACCTGAAGCACCACTTTAGCTAATGGGGCCTCCCGCTGCCGCCACGCCGCTGCAGCACAATTTCCGTTCTCATCCTGAAGCAAAGTTCTTAACCCGAGGTACTATTTCTGGATTAGCGGAGTCTGTAACCTGAAGCGTCTGTAACCCGAGGTACCACTGTATACATACCAGGGAGTAGGGAGGAACAAATAGTACCAGTAAGTAACTTATGGCGGAATCCCACCAGGGAGTAAGCCCGTTGCATTCAGTGGGGGACTTACTTCTGAATAAATATGGCTTGGACTGCAGCCTAAGACACCATCTTTGTTTTATGATTATGATCCATATGAACAGGACTATATTGTTTGCAGGCAGAAGGTGAAGAAGGCAGGGAGCACTTGGCTCCAAAATTTAGTGGCAGCTCAGGATGGAGGATAATGTTTGGCCCACATATTTCAGTGCACTGACCAAGTTTGTACTGAAATTATCTTTTGGATTTCACACCTCTCCAAATGTTGTGAAACAGTCGTTGCGTTGGCTCAAAGAATGTATAAAAATCTGTTGAAATTTGTGCATTATATAAAGTATGTTTAGGATTGCCCATATTGCAATGAAATATGTACTGAAATGCATTGTTTGTGATAAAATATGTGCTTAAATCCACATTTAACTATGAATTTTCATGTTTTTAAAAACACACAACACAGGTAAATGTGGAGATGGGATGGAACAGACTCATGAATGAACACACGTGGCAGTGTCTCGTATTGCAAATAGTTCAGTCTATACTTATCCCACATGTCAACTAACTTCCTTGAAGACTTGTGTCTGTATGTACCCCTGCTTCACCACTGTGGGAGGGAGATGGTTTCCATGCAGCCCAATCTGCCTGTGACTAGGTCCACATTAAAAAAAAAATCAGAACCAGGCACATACTCCAAGAAGGAGATGACACATTTAACAATCATCTGGGTTATAGCTGTGAATATGAGCTCTGAGACTTTGCAGCCTCCCCACAATTGGCAGGGAAAGGGTATGTGCTACAAACATAAAAGTATGGAGGGAAATTTCCACAAAGGATGCAGCAGGAAAGAGCAGAGAGCAAGTGCTGCATTTACATGTTGGCAAGGTTGCCACTTTTCCTGTGGTGTTTATTCCCCATTGTGCAAGGATGTGAGTTGGGGACACTGTGAAGTTATGTGAGCAGTAACACAAGGCTACCTGGAAGCAGCCAAGGTGTGGTCTCAAGCTCTGACTCACCTAGGTACAGTTTAACCAGCTGTACTTATTTCCCTGGACTTGTATGGGTGGAACAGGCACCCTTGAGGGCATACCATAGTGCGAGTGCTGAGGGGGGAAGGCGCCTGGAACCAAGACAGGGACTTTCAGATTCAAAATGCAAGGGCAAGTGAGCCTGAGACTGCCTCAAACTATCAGCACATCTCATGGAATTCCAACAGCAGAAGCACCATTCTCCTCAAAGCAGTTTATACTAAGGATAGAGAACTAAGGATATGAGGGGTCAGACATGGCCATGGAAGCCAGAGGACCATAAGTACTGCCTTGCCCTTGGGCCCCAAACCCCTCTTTCAGGGCTTGGGTATGTGCTTTAGATAACTACTCCCATCCCTGTACGTGCATCAAATGTAGAAAAACCCACCATTTGAAGATCACAACTTTCTGTAGTTCCTTCCTCTTTCTTTATTAGTGAAAATGAAAGAAAACAAAAGATGCAGAATAGTTTGCGGGTGTGCCAATCGTATGGCCACTTTAATCATTTTGCCATGCTTGACAGTATTTATAAAAACAGAACAGCAGCGCTGTTAGAATAATATAATCATAGATTCTAACAGTTCTGCTGTTCTGTTTTAGTAATTAGTACTGTTGCTTAAATCCATCCCAAAACAGAGCAGGGCTGTGTTGTGTCCTGTACTCTATTGTTCCAATACTGTGTGAAGAAGTTCAATTTCTCAATAATTACATTATTTTGGCACCTCCCTTCTCCAACTCTTACAAAGTTGGATTGAGTAAGCCATATCTCATACCTACAGACACTGGCCTCCTATAGAAGGTGGGGTAATCTTTTTGCAATGCTGACTAATCAACAATAAATAATCAATTGAGTTGCTATTAAAAGTGACCATTTCCACATTCTGATCTGGCACTTTAACCTACATATATCTAAACAGGATAAACAACTGATTGAATGCTAGGTCAATGCCTATGATTTTCTTGATTTCTATTACATCAGAGAGTCAAAACTGCTTAATATTAGGATGGGGCTAAAAAAGAACATGTTTACCCCATCAGAGTTGCACTCCAACACTGGTGCTGTGACTGAGCATAGATTTGACTGAGTCTGTGAAGTGTTGGTTCTAGGGCACCAATGGGAGCTTTCCTCCTAAGGCTAATGCCAACTTCCGGAGTGATTTTTGCCAAGGTGGTGACCGGGGAAATGATTGATGATGCCCCTTCCTGTGCATCACAGTCCTGATCCTGCTTGGGCCCTCCCCACATTGGCATTTAAAAAAAACACTATGCCCATGAATTGCTTACATGCCATTGACATTGTATCCAGTTTGGTCCAGAATGACCAAATGACTTGATACTTTTTGTTTTAGCTGTGCAAGTAGCGCTATAGTGACACCTGGTGACAATTTCTAAGTGTTACACAACCAAGATTAAGAAGAGGTTGCCTAGTTCAGCCCTGCAAATCAGACCTTGTAATATGGTATATTTTCTTCTAATATGCTTAAACTCCTTGTAGTCCCCCCTTTACAACTGACTGCACAATATTTATTTGTCCCTGGGTTAAAGGTCTGGAGATCTCCAAGTTTTGTTTTGTCAGTGATGAAGATTCTACCCAGTACTTGAAAACCCACAATGTGAAGCTTTTCCTCTCAGCTGACATGACAGATGTGTGCAATGCGCTTCAAAGAGGTTTGTTTCTGTTTCTTCTTTTCTTTCGCCTAAAAAGTTCCTGTTACAGTTTGTTGACATTGCTTTGATTTTATGTCCTGGGCCTACCATCTCTCCTTCCATATGTCCTCTCAAAATCATCTGTGCACCATCAAGTTCAAACAACAGAGAAATGTGCTTGCTCTCTTGCTCCGAAATGCTGTTTGTGGGTTTGTACCCAGGATAAATCCCGGTTGGTGTCATTGTTTAGTGTGGTAAGTTCCTCTAGCGGCGTGATTGTGAGGAAAGTCACATTCGTTGCTGAAGAGGAATAGTGTTTCCCTGCAATGTTCCTCACACTTCTGAACAGACATCTTGAGGAAACACTGACCTGTTCAGCTAGTGCACAGGGAACGTGGGAGAGAGGCTTCAACCCTAGGCGAGACTGCTTCGTCTCTTCTGCTTTCCCCCGGAGCCTGTTGTTGTGACAAGGCAGCTGCATCAAAGACAACCTGTCCTCCTCCCTTTGAAGGCTGACAGCAAAATAAAACAAAAAATAAAGCAGTCAGTTGTGACATCTAAAAGCTTTAATAGTCATGAGCAGGCTGTGAACCAACAGAGCATGCCTCACATCTGTCACTTCCAGAGATACACCACATCTGTGTCTGCTTAACCTCAGGAGATCATTTCATGCCAGAGAATAGGATATTTAAATTGGGGCCTAGTCCAAGCTGTGTCTATCATGCATCCTCTGCTGAACCACTTCCAGACAGGCAATCTAACCGTCTCTCTGTCATACAGGAGTTTCAGCAGCACTCATCTTCCAGCAGGAGATCCAGGCTCCCAGCACCCAGCTGCACGTCGTCTTTGACGGTGATGCTGTACTCTTTTCAGACGAGACGGAGCGGGTCTTTCGTGAGAAGGGGCTGGAGGGGGCTGTAGCGTATGAGAAAAAGATGGAAAGTGTGCCCATGGGAGAGGTGAGGTTGCTTACTTTTTTTACCCTTTACTTGCATCCATTCCCACCCCCCACAAGGTGTATGAGTGATTTCTCCCTGTAAGACTCATTTCTATAATATATATGAATTGATATAACTAGCTATTGAGATCTTGAGCAAGGGCGAGGTGGCAAGGTCAGGGTTATGCTTAAGTTGATGGGCTTTGCTCATATCCAACTGCTGAGAAGATGATCCTTTAAGTAGCCTGTCCTGAAGCCATGCAGAGCTTTAAAAGTCCCAGAAACAGATTGGGAGCCAGTGCAGCAGACCCTCCAAGTGTCCCTATTTTCCAGGGACAGTCCCAGATTTACAACAGCCGTCCTGGTTTCTTTCTTGATCCCAGAATGTCCCACTTTTCCTTAGCAAGTCCCTATTTTCACTGGAGAAATGTTGGAGGGTATGGAGTTATGCAACCCCTGAGCCTAAAAGATAAGTCACTATGCAACCTTTAGAAGACATCCGAAGGAAGCCCTGTATAGGGAAGTTTTTAAAAAAATGTTTAATGTTTTATTATGTGTTTATATATGTTGCAAGCCACCCAATGTGGCTGGGGCAACACAGTCAGATGAATGGGGTATAAAATTATTATTATGGAATAGGACATCCCTATTTTCATTGAAGAAATGTTGGAAGGTATGGTGCAGATAATGATGATGATAATAATAATATTAATAATTTTTATTTTTATTTTTTACCCCATCCATCTGACTGGGTTGCCCCAGTCACTCTGGGCAGCTTCCAAATCATGGGGCACTGACGTAATACGATCATATTTACCGCTCTCCAGTAATAACCTAGCTGCCCTGTTTTGACCAAGTGAAGTTTCCAAACCATTTCCTAAAGCAGCTTCATGTATATAATGCATTGCAGTAATTCAACTACCAGGTTACCAGAGTGTGGATAACAGCAGCAAGGCTCATATCTGTACGGTTAGTGGAAGTGGGGAGGCTGCATTAGAGGTATGATGGGTCCTGACTGGCAGAGGCCTGAGAGAGGACGGATGAATTCACACAGGCATGTTCATTACCTGATGACTACGGATGATGTGTCTGACAGTTTTCCTATCACCTGGCACTATCTCAAACCTGATTCTTTTCAATGGAGCGATGAATATGTTCAACTGCAAGTCATCCAACAGCACATATTCACCTGTCAGTTGACTCTTTGAAATGCCACAGTTCCCCCACCCAATTCAAAGGACTGAAGTGGCCAGGAAGGCGATTCTTTTGATGGGGCTTTGCTGCATTGATCTATCTTTACAAAGCAATCTTCTCTGGTTTCTGTACTTTGATCTAGTGAATGCTAAAGTCAGACAGACGACGTACACTTTAAAACTCTTCTCCCATGCCCTGATGAAATGATCACATATACAGTGACTTCTTTAAAAACTTGCCGTTTTTATAATCACTCCTCGAATGTTGTCACTTGGATAAAGTAAGATAAACCCATGTGGTTTATATTACACTTTTTAAAAAAATAAAAAACAAGGTCCCAAGAATCCTATTGTCCCCCTCTGATTAGAATTGTTTGGTTTATAATTTACTGTTCTGTGGAATAATATAATGCCTCCCTCTTTTGTCTACTGTATTTTACAGGGCCCACTGAAAGCATTTGCTTTGCATCTTGGGAAGATGCGCCAAAAATTTGGCAAAGAGGACTCTCCCATCCGCATTTACTTGGTAACTGCCCGCAGTGGCCGTGACATGGGCATCCGGGCCATAAAAACGCTTCGGGAATGGGGCCTGGCAATTGATGAGGCCTTCTTCATGGATGGAGCACCTAAAGGCCCCATACTCTCCAAGATTCAGCCCCACATCTTCTTTGACGATGGTCTTCACAATATCCAGGGTGCCCAGGATGTTGGCATACCCTCTGCCCTGGTTCCTTGTGACTGCTGACAGGGACCACATCATGGCCGCAATATTGTGGTGATTGAACAAATTGAAGGATGGCTGGGCAAAGCCTTCAGACTGACAGGACAAAGTTGAAATGGCATTGACTACATTTAGGGACCAAGGGAACAAAACTGCTGAATGAAGATACAGTGTTGGCTGCTTTGCTGCGATATATTCTGAACAAATCCAAATACTGTATGGACCCATTTAACTTGAGCAGCGGAAAGCTCATAAAGGAACAATGACTGAAGTATAACAGATTAACTTGATAGCTAAATGGTGACTAGAAAAAAAGCAGAGTGATTGCTGGGGTTTTTTTTAGCCTTTTTTATTGCACTAAAATGAATTTTCATTTACCGGTATTAGCTGTTGCTCTAATATTTTATATATATGTATGCAAAAAGAGCAGAAATAAAAATAGTGGGTTTTTAAAAATACAAACTAAAATGGCACTGATCAGAAATATAATGGTGAAGTTGTCCTAAGGTATAAATGCAGGAGATAAGCTAATTTCCCCAGAATTTCACTGAACTCATCATTGATTCATTTTATTTGTATGCCACTTTTCCACAAAAAAATGCTCAAAGTGGCTTATAAGAAAGAAACAAGGACACATTTCAAACAAACACCACAAAAACAAATTTATAATAACACAGCAAAACAATAATAACTACCATCGGAACCACACCTCTGAGAAAGGAGGGGAGGGTGGCTCTAAGGTAGTCCACGCTTGTGGTGATTGTTGCACTCTTTCCCAAAATGTTGAATTTTCTGCTTCCACTCATGCAATAGGACCTCCCCCTCGCCTCTCCCCAAGATCCAGAAGGTTCCTCAAACATCTGGAGCAGATTTTCTGGGTGCACAGAGGCGGAGGCGACAAGGCAGTCCCACACTACCGTCCCAATGAAAATCCACCCACCCCAAAAAGCACCTGCTATTTATCCTGGGAAGAAAGTTTCTGTTAGTGCACATGGAAATAGATTTTTTAAAATAAATAAATTAGTATTATTAAGGGCCTAGAAAGCTCAATAACATGCAATGGTAAAAATCCTCCAATGCAGCTTTAATGGGGGGAAAGAAGTTGTTTGCCCCTAGGGACAAATAAAATATTAGCAAGTATTACATTAAGTTTATTATTACAGCCTGGAAGGAACTACAAACAGAAGCATCAAAGGTTCATCATGAGAGAGTGTGTACATGAGTGCCTTTTTCAGCCACGTCCAGAATTCTGCTGAGGTCAGTGGAGTGTTGACTTTAAGTGGGGCAACTGATGCCCTGTTAGAATTGTTGTTGTTGTTTAGTCATTTAGTCATGTCCGACTCTTCGTGGACCAGAGCATGCCAGGCACTCCTGTCTTCAACTGCCTCTCGCAGTTTGGTCAAACTCATGCTGGTAACTTCGAGAACACTGTCCAACCATCTCGTCCAATACAGAATCTAAAACTGGCCAATCTGTTTATACCACACGGGGGCAGCACAGAGCTCTCTACCAAAGCTGGCATGGTTTAGCCCAGAGGTTTTCAACATTTTTGAGCCCAGGCTCCCTTGACCAATTACATTCTTTCTGCGGCACCCCTGTGGGGCTCAGGAGCCCAGTTATGTCACCCCTCGCCTGCAGAGCTGGCAGCCTCTTATGCTTTTTCTAATATCCTCCTTTGTAGAGTGTTCCCTCAGCCTCCTCTCATCTCTCCTTGGGAGTCCTCTAGGCAGCTGCTGCCATCATCCCTGGTCTCTAAGCTGCCCCCCTCCCCATCCCAAAGAGAGGTGTTGCCTGCTTATAGCCAGGGCTGCTGCAATAAACAGCTGTGCAAGCCTTTGGGAGGCGGAGGCACCAGAGGAGGGAGGGAAGGAAAGAGGGACAGAGGCCATTGTTGCCTGCAGCACCCCAGACTATCGTTCAGTGCACCCCAGGGTGTCACGACACACTGGTTGAAAACCACTGGTTTAGCCTATCCCTGCTCTTTCTAGTACAGCCAAGATTATTCTTTGCTTGCTTGCTTGTGAATATAACATTCCTTTCCACCCTCTGACCTCAAAACAACGTGTCAATGTCTGTGATAGGTCTCTTTTAAAAAAATACCCTGTATGGAATCCCTGTCAGGGCTGTAGAGTATATTTTTTAGCATTTGCAAGTTTGACTACTTTTTAGACTTTCCACTCGCTCGCACACAAAAGAACAAAGAACACAGAAAACTAGCTTATACCCAGCACCAGACCATTGGCCCAACCCACTGGGTATTGTCGACAGTGATTCTCAGCAGCTATCCAGAGTTTCAGACAGGAGTCTTTCTCAGCCCAGCCTTAAGATGCAGGAAATTGAACCCAGGACTTTTTGCATAGAAACCATGTGCTCTACCACTGAGTTGGGCACCTGCAAACTGGATGGTGCAGCACTTTTGAAGGCAGGTGGGGCGACTGCATGCTTGAATCCTATTCATTCTGCGTGAATGAAGCTAACACACCAGGGAGGAATCTTGGCGAAAGCAGTTTTCCTTGGCATCATCAAGGTTTTGTTTTGTTTTGTTTTTGGTTTCCTGTCAGGAAGCAGTCATACAGGTTTCAGCTTAATATTCTTATCAGCTTTAGCCGACCTGAGTTATTTCTCGATTAGCCAGCAGAAATAAGAGTTTGCATTTGGCTGTGACGCACTATTTTGTTCAAATTAGGTCCCCGCCACTTGCTGCACACCCATCACATTTATATCAGCTGAATCCTTGTTGCCATGCTGCATAGAGCTTGGGACCAGGACACCTGAAAGATTGCCTCACCCCTTATAAACCCAACCATCATTGTGCTCTGCAAATGAGGGCTTCCTGCATATACCATCTTATAGGACCCTCGTACCTACGGGACCGCCTCTCCTGGTATGTCCCACGGAGGACCTTACGGTCTTCAAACAAAAACACCTTGAAGGTCCTGGGCCACAGAGTGGTTAGGCTGGCCTCAACCAGAGCCAGAGCTTTCTTGGCTGTGGCTCCGATCTGGTGGAACACTCTGTCACAAGAGACTAGGCTCGTGCAGGACTTGACATCTTTCCACAGGGCCTGCAAGACAAAGCTGTTCCACCAGGCCTTTGGCCAAGGCACAGCCTGACTCCCTCCTTTGGTAATCCTCACAGAACTCTAGCCCAATGGTTGTCATTAATTTGATTTTGAATTGATTTTAGAATGCATTTCAATTAACTGATTGTGATTTTATATAAACTGTGTTATTTTATTGTTGTTAGCCGCTCTGAGCCCGGCTTCGGCTGGGGAGGGCTAGATATAAATAAAATTATTATTATTATTATTATTATTATTATTATTATTATTATGAGGCCCCTTTTGCACAATGCACGGTAGGGGTTTTTATTGTGGTGGCAGTTACCCTTTGGAATCAATTAAGTAGCCATAGAAAACATTGCAGACTGGGTGGGTTAGAAAACAAGGTGTAACATCACAGTCCTTTCCTTTAATGTAGAACCATTTGCAACTATGGTGATTCATGAATTTGACACACACATAATTTGCAAGGAGGAAGCTAACCTGAGACCATCCCGTCGTAGATACACCAACACTGCCAATTCAATGGCTCTGCTCTGGATCTGGGAGAGAATCCACTGCAGGAAACAAGCCCTACCGCATAGCGACATCAAATGAACTCTCTTAATTAAGACCTATTCCCTTGGCTTTCCTGACAGTCATGTTAAAGGCTGACTCAGTCAAATATCTGAACGAAAGGGGATTAAGCAATGCCAAAAAAAAGTGGTGCAGAAATGAAAGACTTGCAGGTGGGAAGGACATGATGAGATTATCCAGATGCATGGTGGGAAGAGGGAAACAACAACCCACAGGCCTAGGGTGTCTCTGTCACCTGGACAAACAGGAATGCTCAAGTGTGTAATTGCTGAGGAAATAATGAGCCGTCTCTGTGCCATCAAGTTCCATCAGCATATAAGGTAATCACACACTATGCAAAATATGCCTAAAGAGAGAAAGGGAAGGGTTTGTCTCGTTCTTACCAGTAATTCCAAATTATTATTAATTACGTTTATAGCTTGCTCTTCCACCAAACAGCTCCAGCTGGTAAATATACAGCTCTTCTCTCACAGAATTGCCTAAGAATAAAGGTAGGTAAGTTACACTGGTAGCACCTGTGCCTTTCTCAAGGTCACCTTGGGAGCTGAATAGGCAAGTAGAGATGTGAGTCTAGACCTCTCCAGCTCTATTCAGGGCAGTATTTGGGCTTCTGGCTTCCTCTTCCAGATTTCCCCAGATATTTTTTTTACAGAGCACTGTCCTCAACCATCTTCCCTCCCCCCCCCCAATGTGACTCAGCTCTGCAGTTTCCTCTAGGGCTCAAGCGAAATTATCTTTCTGTAAGTGCTGTTGTTTGAACAAGCAGCCACATGAGGTGAATTTTCACGCTTCATCAATGGATGGCAAAGCGGGCCTTTGGACCGCAGAGGTTACTAGCCACTAGTAACGAACCTAAAGGGTTGTAATACACTTTTAAGGGAAACAGCGAGCTTTCTGGCTAAAGCTGTTTTGTGGTGCAGCTGAGGCCTTATTATCCAGCTGCCTGACAAGCCCTGGGAAGCTGACCAAGACCAAAGTAGCACTGAACTGTTTCCAAGTACAAGGATAGATCCCCAGCAGATGTCACCGGCGTAGCTTGACTGGACTTGCTGAAGCTGTGGGTTTGATGTACACCAGCTGGGCACCTTGCCCTGAGGAGAACGCAGAAAAGCCAGCGTTACTGAATAGGTTTATGAAGTCATTAAAGACTGGAATAGAGTCCTTTTCATTATGTCATTCAAGTGATCACTTGGAGCACGATTGCCCTGCATCTACCGATTTTTGTCAACCGTTTTGGCATTTTCCTTCCATTATTGACAAGTGTCCAAGGGTATGGGGTGGGTTTTTTAAGGCAGACTTTGAAAGAAGTCCACAAAAGTTACTAACACGGCTTTAAAAAAACAAAAACAAAAATACTTGCCTACTGTGGGCTGGTGAAGAAAGAATGGTGAGCTCCGTGACTTGGTGCAAAGAAAGAGGATTCCCTCCTCTGGCGCTCTCTTGGTTGCCATGCTGGGCAAAGAGAGGGAACAGAGCGATCCCTCCCCTGGCAGCATCCATGCCCACCTGCACAGAATCCCTTATCACCTATGGCTCCCAGCCAGGTGCCTAAATTAAGGACAGTTGTAACAAGTATGGTCCATTGCCTCACCGCAAGTGAACCTGGCATTCTTCCTACGGCAGAATCAAAGGCTCGGTTCTTTCCACCATACAGCAGCTTATTACACTCACAAGCAGATGGCAAGATCCACATAGCTGCCACATTGGAGCCGTGCTCCCAGTATAGTCTCGCCATTAGTTCCTTGCTCTGCTTACATTGTCTACAAGCTGACATTTTCTCTCCTTAAAGTTTTGTACTGGGGAGGATTAAGTCCCCCTACAAGATTGAATCTCCTTATCGTCAAAAGCTTAGGAAGGTCCTGAAAATGATGGATGGAAAGCTCCAGTAAAATGTTCACTGTGTTGTGCTGTGGCTTCCTTCCTGAGCTGAATCAGATGCCGTTTTAAAACCCAGACTTTTGAGCTTTAGACCATTTAAAAATTAAATAAATCCATAAAAGCCCATGACATTTATTTTATTTTTTTTCAAAGTTGTACAATTAAAGTCAGTGGGTTGCATCCAATCCACTTGCCCTGTTCAGGCAAGGACTTCTGCAGCAGAACTTCCTCTCTCTCTTCCCTTGCCTACCCTCACAATCTGCTCTAGAGCGTTTCCAGAATGGATTTTGGAGGGGTATGTTGGGGAAAGAGGGCGGGGGTAGAGTTTTGCTGCACAAGTAGAAGTCCTTGCATGAATGGGATGGCTTCATTGCATATAACTCAGAGGATGTTGCTTTAGACAAAATATTTGAAAGTGTGGGGCCTTAATATTAATTTTGCATAATTTCATAACATCAATCCTTTTCCAATTCAGTACTGTATTACCAATTTCATGATTTCTTGATCTTGTAATACTTGCTGTTTTTTCATTCATGTAGCCCAGCACACAACAGACTGTTAGTAACACTCCCTTGCTACTTAGAATTCTTTTAACTGGGGGTGTGATGAACAGACCCTGGGTCAGCCTCCTGGAGAGCCAGTGTGGTGTAGTGGTTAAGAGCGGTAGTCTCGTAATCTGGGGAACCGGGTTCGCGCCTCCGCTCCTCCACATGCAGCTGCTGGGTGACCTTGGGCCAGTCACACTTCTCTGAAGTCTCTCAGCCCCACTCACCTCACAGAGTGTTTGTTGTGGGGGAGGAAGGGAAAGGAGAATGTTAGCTGCTTTGAGACTCCTTAAAGGGAGTGAAATGCGGGATATCAAATCCAAACTCTTCTTCTTCTTCTTCTTGGTGACCCAGTAACCAATCAGAGCTGGGTGGAGTGTTATCCAATCAGGAGAGAGAGAGAAATATTAAAAAGTTAGAAACTGGCAGTCAAACTGTGTGATGGGGCTTGTTTGTCAGTGAGTGTTAGTTAGGGCTTAAAAAGTACCTAGATAAGAATCTATTTAGAGCCTGGTTAGGGACGAATTAGTGGTTAGCTAGGCAAGGCAACCCAGATTGTTTCCCTGAGGGGAAGGCAAAGATCCTAGAAGGGGCTGGGAGTGATTTACTGGTAGTGTAAGACCAATAGTCATTCTAGGAGACAGTGAAGAACTTTGTTAACTTCTCAACCTATCTCTACAAAGAGTGTT